GCGTTTGGAGTAGTCTTAACCTTATGTTGTTTACTGCGTTTCACCCCTCGCATTACTTTCTTGATGTTACTGTCTCAGTTGTTGATTATACGCTATCTTTTGTATTGGCTGTTATGTTTTATATATATTTCTCCTGTCACTTAGATCTGATGTTCTTGAGCTGAGGGTCTCTCGGAAACTGCCTCTCTTCCTCCACGAGGTAGTGGCAAGGACTGCGTACACTCTACCCTTCCCAGACCCCACCTAGTGGGATTTCACTGGGTATGTTGTTGTTATTGTTGTATCCTGCAACTGATCTTCTAGTTTCCACACATGCTCCCAGTCAGAGTCACAGTAAGCTGTAAGTTTAGTAGTGTATTCTATAGGCATTAACAAGCCTAATTCAGGTGCTTCTTTGATGTATCTGACTACCCTAAGAGCTGCATTCATGTGCGACTGTTTAGGACAATGCATAAATTAACTCAAGACTTGTACTGAGAATACAATATCTGGTCTTGTCATAGTCAGATACAAAAGTCTTCCCACCAGCCTTTGATACTTTGTAGTGTCTGTTAGTATGTTGTCACCTTCATCTATCCCTTAATTGACATGCTCATCATATTGAACTGATGTGAGCTTTTGATTCATTTCTAAAGGTGTGAAGACTGGTTTTGCTCCCTCTAGGCCAGACTCAGATATCAATTCTAATACATACTTCCTTTGTGACATGAGTATGCCTTTGTTGGACCTGGAGAACTCAATTCCTAGAAAGAACTTTAACTCTCCCAAATCCTTCATCTTGAACTTCTTCTGAATGTCTAGTCTAGTGTCACACATGAGCTGTTGATTGTTTCCAGTGATGAGCAAATCATCTACATAAACCAACACCACAACAATATCATTTCCAGTGTGCTTAGTATACAATGAATAGTCATAATGACTTTGCTTGAACCCCATATCTACCAAAGCTTCAATTAGCTTTATATTTCATTGTCTTGGTGCCTGCTTGAGTCCATATAAGGACTTGTGTAGTTTGCAGACCTTATGAGTCTCCCCCTGTCTAGCAAACCCACTAGGAATAACCATATAGACCTCCTCAAGAAGATCACCATTGAGGAAGGCATTATAAATATCTATCTGATAGATATACCAACCCCTGGATACAGCAAGAGCCATAATAGATCTAGCAGTCACCATCTTAGCAACATGACTGAAAGTCTCTCCATAGTCAAGTTCTTCCTTCTAACTAAACCCTTGTGCAACCAATCTTGCTTTAAATCTTTTCATAGCCCCTGGGAAAGGTATTTGATCTTGTAGATCCACCTACAACCAATGGTCTTCTTTCCAGGAGGGAGATCCACTATACTCCATGTGTTGTTGCTTTCTAATGCATCTATCTCCAGCTGCATTGCCTGGACCCAAGCAGGATCAGCAGCAGCTTGTTGAAATGACACAGGCTCACACAAAGCTGAGTAGGCTTGAAGAACATGCTGAGAGGATTGAGATAAATGAGTGTACAAGCAGGATCAGCAGCAGCCTGTTGAAATGACATAGGCTCACACAAAGCTGAGTAGGCTTGAAGAACATGCTGAGAGGATTGAGATAAATGAGTGTATGAAAGATGATCAGCTATAGGATAGGAATATGTATATCCTCTGGGCTGAGTGACAAAATCCTGTAGCCAGAGAGGAGGCCTGCTGATCCTGCTAGACTTTCTAGTGGAAACAGGTAAAACAACAGGTGGTGATTGGACATGAGCCACTGGAGCCATTGGATAAGGCTCACCATTCATAGAAGCATCAGCTGGGGAGACACTTGAAGAGGCATCTGGTGGTATTAGAAGATCCAGGACTGGGAACATAGGATTTGATTATTCTTGTACATGTTTGAAAGGGAAGAGGTGTTCGTGAAATATCACATGTCTGCTTACAAAAAATGACTTAGCATGGAGATCAAATAAGATATAATCTTTCTGTGTTGAAAAGTACCCCATAAATACAGCTGAGATGGCTCTAGAGGAGAGCTTGTCCAACATTTTAGGACATGCAGCATAACAAAGACACCCAAGTACTTGAGAGGGATATCAACTTGAAATCTAATGGACCTAGCTATATTTAAAATGGTCATGTGTTTCCTTTCAACTACACTATTTTGCTAAGGTGTGTACACACAAGAGGATTGATGGGCAATGCCAAGTTCATTTAATAGAGTCTGAAAGTTGTGACTAAAAAACTCAGAGCCATCGTCTGTTCTCAAAGTTTTAACACTGGTTGAGATTACATTTTTAACTTGAGTAAGAAACTGTTTCAGTACAAATATGGAGTCAGCTTTGGAGTTTATCAAAAAAATCCAAGTATATCTGCTATAGTCATCTACAACTGTAACAAAAAAACCTTTTTCCATTATAAGTAGGCACTCTATAAGGTCCCCAAATATCATAATGCAATATTTCAAAAACAGTGTTGGACATAATAGTGCTTAACGGAAATGGAATTTTTGTGTGCTTGGCAACAGGGCACACTGTACAATGAGAATGATCCTTTCCATTTAAGGACCTAAGAGACTCGTGTTTCTTTATTATGTCAAGAGGTGCATGACCTAACCTCTTGTGCCATACATCAACTGAATCAGAAGTAACAGGTACAACAGTAGACTTAGTAACAGACTTATCAGAGTTTTTGTCACTAGGAATCCTACTACTATTCACCAGCTTTTTTGGAGCTTGAGTTGGTCCTCCTCCTTTTAGTATGTAGAGTCCATGTTATTCTTTACCAATCCCCTTCACCTGACTATTTGAGAGATCCTGAAACACACAAAAGTAATGCTACCATGCAACTAAGTTCCTTAGTGATCTTGGACACTGAGAGTGAGTTAACTCTGAAGTCAGGAAGGTATAGGACATTTGACACAGGCTGGTTTGTCAACAGACATGTACTACCAATGTGAGAGACAACAGCAGTGTTACCATTAGGTAAGTAAACTTTATTGTGTGCATTAGTAATAGATACAATACTAGTGTCTAATGTGTAAAGATGTGATGAGTAACTCCAGTATCGACTACTCATTCACCTGCATCATATGAACACAAAATAGCAGAAGTATGTATACCTGTATCTACAGAGGCCACCTTGGTAGAAGATTCTCCTGTGCTATCACCTCCAGTCTTGGATAATAGCTGGAGAATTTGTTGATACTGATCCTGAGTGAAGAATCCTCTAGGAGTTTGAGCTGCAGTTGAATTGATTCTTGACTCAGTGTTGAGAGGTGTATCAACTTGATTAGCATAAGCTCCAGTAGTCAGGCCTTTCCTCTTTGAATTGAAGTCAACTGGATAACCAACAATTCTGTAGAATTGTTCCTTGGAGTGACCCTTGCATCCACAATGATCACATTGCAATAAGTGCCTCCTATTCTTGTAACTACCAGATGAACTTGCACCTCTACTATAACCTCCACTAGCACCTGATGCATTGCTGGAAAGTTATCCTTTGAATGAGCTGGAACTTGTGTGAGAGGTTGAATTCCTATTACTGTACATGGATGTGCCTTCAATTGAACCAAGTCCTGAGTTAAGTGAACTAGTATTTTCTAGGCTTCTATGACACTCTTGGTCCATGAGGAAAGCATAAGTTTTGTTCAAAGTAGGAATCGGATTCATCATGAGAATTTGACTTCTAGGTGGTGAATATGACTCATTAAGGCCCATAAGAAACTGAAGAAGTCTCTGGTACTCATAATGTTCACCAAACTTCCTTGATTCTGGACAAGGACATGAGGGACAGGGTATGAGAGCATCATATTCATCCCAGAGATCTCTCAATTTGGAGAAGTTGTCAGCAATTGACATTGTACCTTGGATGAGAGTGTGAATTTCCTTGTGTAAATGAAATATCCTAGATCCATTCACAGTATCAAACCTTTTTCTCAGATCTAGCCATACCTTACGAGCATCAGATGCATAGACAACTGAACTTAGCAGTCCAGGTCGAACAACATTCATGATCCAGGATAAGACTATATCATTACATTTTTCACACTGATCATGTAATACCGGTTCAAACATGGATTTAGGAAATCTTCCATCAATAAATCCTAATTTGCTTCGTCCTACAAGTCCAATTCTAAACGATCTACCCCACAGTGCATAGTTCTCAGATCCAGTTAATTGAAGGGAAATCAAAGAGCTACATGGAGTGTCTGTATGTTGTAAAAAAAAGAGGATGATTGTGATCAATCACTGGAAATGAAGCCATGGGTGTAACACCAGTACTTGTGCCTTCAGTAGTTGATTCAATTGCCATTTGTATAAGCTAGGTCGTAGCTGAATTCAACCTTTGATGCTTTCTTGTGAGTCACCTTTGAACATGGATGAACTCTGAGCATCCAGTGGTGAAAGCTACAACAGAATTAGTCTTCGATCAGCTACTCTGATACCATGAAAACTCCATTAATGGAGATTAGAAGCATACTGAATTATAGAGAGAAATCAGAAAAAAGAGAAGCGAAGAGGAAGAAATATTATTGAACTAAATGATTCTACTGTTACATTGAATCTGGTCACTTTACATTGTAGCTTAATATCTATTTATAGATGGTAGGATTGTAACCACCTTCTTAATTAACTATGGAAGCTTCTAGAACCTTCCTAACAACTTAACTAACTCACACCATATAGCTTGCTTAATCTTCAATGTTGATTAACAGTAGCATTTATGTACACTTTCTGAGAGAACTAGATGGTTTAAGCCCTGCAAGCACGGGCTCAACGATGTGCTTTGGTATCCAAAAAAATATATGTTATTAGTATTTGGAGAACACTGAAGAATTAGCATCATGTTATATATGAATACCCTCATGACTACCTATTTTTTTTCCACTTTGGCCTGACTACCTGCGTTTTTTCCTTTTACTGAAAAGGGCAAGCAGGCCACTATTAACTAATATTGCCCTTTACAAGGCTCTAGTTTTATTTTCTTTATCCATGAGATCTGAATAAAGTTGCATTTAGTGTGCTAACCAAATAATAAAATCTGAAAGCCAACCAAAATATTAAGGTGTTACATGTATGAAGCTTGATGTATGTTTCACCAATCACAACAACGTAAATAGCTAACTATACATAAAATATGAGCCTCTGTAGTCAAATATGTACTGAGAATGCAGCAGGTGAGATGAGGAGTATGTGATCAATGCCTTGGATCTATAATAGATACCACTTCTTCTTCGCTGTTTGGGCATTGGGAACTGTTAGCAGTTGAGGTCGAACTTCAGGCTTTCTATGAGTTTTAATTTCTCTGCCAATTGGCACCACAGTAAACTCAAGTTGGCCAGCAAAACAAACCATCCAACCTAATGCAAAGTGTAATCATCACTATGTAGAACTACTAAGGTTACTCCAGGAACTATCTCCAAAAGGCATTTTAGCACCAGGATATCCTGATTCCTGAAGGACCAAAATTGCTCTGTCGATATATTGGTGTTGCCCCATTCATTTGCAGCACGCTCTTTTTGAGTCCATGCTGACAGAACTGACTTGGCCCATAGGACAGAGGAAATAGAGCATATCCACGATACCTGCAAGCATGAGAACAATCAACTAAAGTTCTTTCACTGTGCTTAAAAGAACTACAAATTTGTGGAAATAAAGAAGACAAACATCTCCTTGTCAACTGCCAAAAAAGAGAAAAAAAAAAGGGAAGCCACCACCATCCACCTCACTCTGCATTTACATGACCAGTTACTAATAACGGGAGGGGGAAATTTTATTATCATGTCATTATTAAGGCTATTACTCCTGCTTCATGAACAATATGTTAATATTCATAATTATTTGTACTACAAGTCTACCATTGTCTTCTAGTACAATTCCTTAGATATGGAGTAGTTATTGATTTGTTGTTGTCTCTAAATCAGTTTCAAGAACTAAATTGTGTACGTAGTTGTGTTTGTATCCATGAGAAGATGCAGTTTGTAGCACAGATCAAGCTTATCATCAGTAGTCATAGTATACCTTTCTATACCGTTAAATGAAGTTGCAATTGATGGTTACAACCTACAATGACACCAACAGAAAAAGAAATAGAATTGCAAATTGGAGCAGGTTTCTTACCTTATAAATAATGATGAAATGGTTAGCTGAAAATCCAATCACAAACTCAAATAATCACTGTTACCACCTCAAAGAATTTGCATTTCCAATTTTGAAACAATGTTGTAGAATTAGGAGAGCACATATTAAATGAGACAATTTGTAGTCGCTGGTTGGTTCTTCAATAACTAAAACTGAACGCCAATATCAAAATAATAGTAAGCTGAATACGGAAGAAGTAGAAACCTAAAGATTAGATTTTTGTTACACCAATTCAAACTTCCTACCTTGTAAAAAAATATTTTGTCTTTAATATGAGGAACTCACTTCTCATCTAAACAAAGTATAATAACATATCCAATGTAATCCACAAGTGAGTTCTAGGGAGCTTAAAATGTAACTACCTCACATAGGTGGTAGAGAAACTGTTTTAGAGAGATCTAAGTGCAACAAATCAAAATATTTTACCGAGAAAGGAATACGATACCAAAGAAAACATGTCAGTTAATAAGGAAAAACAGTTCAACAACATTTAGAGAAAACAAACAAAAAAAGATGAAAAAGGGGAAAGGGAGCAGAGCGAGCCAATAAAGAAGAAAGAGGAAGAAAATTACCTGGAAAATTTTCCAGTTCATATAGGAGGGTCATCTCAACATCATCATGTGAAGATGCTGGCACCTTTGCAGTATAAGTGACTGCTGGTGCTGTCACGAATAAATCAGTGGGGTATGTGATAACGTTCAAATATACTTTTTGAAAAGAAATATAAACGATCGTATGTAATATATTTATCAATAATGAGTCGGGGTCAATCCCATAGAGAATATGAAAGAATATTGTCAATAGCAAATATTTAACTTGATAGTCGTTATATAAAAATGGGGGGATTTAAATTGAAATAAATAAAACAATAAAAAGATAACTTTGAACTAAGTATTTATTTATATTCAGATTATTAAAAGTAACTAGGAATGTGTTCCCCATAAGCTCATAACGCAGTAATCCTAATAATAATAATAATCCTTTTCTAGTGTATTACATGCATAGTGATAAGTTAGGTATCTCTAAATCCTTGGTCCGACATCTAGAGAATTTCACCTTGCACCTTGGTCCGGCTACGTGTGTATAATTTACTAACCCTTACCTTTACCTCATATTAAATATCATAATCGATGTTTGACTTAGTTATTACTTCACACCAATCGACACTAGACTATTAAATAGTATCACACTAAATCTATGTTGATAGTTCTTTTCTTGTTGATTACTTCCTTGGTCCGGCAAGTAGCAACAAGGCAAGTTCTAACGTTGGCCACCGTTAAAAAGACTTCTAGACGAAAGAATTATAAATGCATGCTTCAACACTATTCACGAATTACTTAGTCATTATTCATACTTTGTTAATCGCTTATGGTTCCCACAACCCTAGTTATGAAAGTTAGCTACTCATTATCTCAAAAACACAATCAAAATTTATTAAAATAAATATGCTTGTGTTAATCATAAAAAGTTAAGAACAATAGCCAAACTATCTTTTATTAATCACGAATATAAATAAATAATAAAGGAGAAGAAAGAATAAACCACAATTTTCTGGCCTCCACGGCGGCTCTTCTAAAATTTCTAAGTTAGAAGAAAATTTATATTGTGTCTTGTATCTTGGTTCCTCGCTTCCTCCCTAAAGAATAATTTTTCATGTCCTATTTATAGATATAGAAACCTTAAATAAAATAATTAAGTTCAAGACAAATTAAGAAAACAAAACCCAAAAGAATTGGATTTCACACGGTACGCGTAAACACTAAACCGCCTTATATTTTTGATTGCTGCCGCTGATGCATGGTCTTTGTGACACGTGTCAGGTGCAATTCGCTGTTCTGCCTCCAATTTATTTTATATGCATAAATATTAATATTATATTACGATCATTCCATTAAGCTGTCTGCTTGATTTTCTTCTTTAACCTTCAATCTTCAATTCATTTTAGCTCTAAACATTTTTATTTTTCCACCAATTTAATTCTACAAATAAAATACACAATTTAGCACAATTCATAAAATTCATGCTCAAAAAGGACAAATATAAATAATAAATGTAAGGAAATAATAATTAAAAATATGTATTTTTAGTCTCACATCAATATGCACGACTTGGACTCCTCTTTGTTTCGGTGGTTCGTTTTATTTCGATTGCGATTGATTTGTTTCTGCTTTTTAATGGTTCTTTGAATGTTTACCATGTATTTTGGATTCTTCTCATATTCAAACTACATGAAGTTACCAACCCATAAGGCTGGGCACCAGATCGAAATGGTACCAGCGGACCAGAACAAACGGTATCGGACCGAAACCGGATGGTTTGACCGGGTTGTTGATGTAACGACCCGAGAGCACCCCGAAGTCATAACATGCGTACTCGACCTCTCGGAGGTCTAATACAAGCCTCTTAGCATTCATTCATCGCATTCGGTAATAAAAACCGTAAGGAATTTAAAAACTTTTTAAAATAAATTCATAATACTCATAAAATCTTTCAAATGTAATGAAGTAGAATTTCTAAGTCTCATGTACCATCTTAGACACGAATAGAACATCTTAGGGGCATGACCCTTTACAACAAAATATAAGTCTTATACAATGTCTAACTGAAAATACTAGAGAGGTAACAACTATGTCCTCGAATATATGAGGGCATACCAAGCTTCTTGAGAAGAGTCACTATCCCAAGCTTCCTCAAAAGATCCCTTCACTTTCCACCACCTACACTTGTAACAATAGAGAGATATGGGATTAGTACAATAAGTACTAAGTATGATGACCATGCAAGAAAACATGCACAACGGACATTTATAAGGAATGTATGCTTTTAAGACCTTTTTTAACAAACCTTTACAACCACAAGCATAAACCCACATTTCAAGTCACCATTCACAAATAAGACCATATTCACATCATTTGCAACTCAATTAACACTAGTGTACAATACTAAAAAAAGATAGCAAAGTAAGTCCTTCATTACTATTTAAGCCTCTATCTCAAGTCACCATAAGCCACACTTAAGTGAATAATGAAGTGACCGCCTATACAACCTCTTCATATACACCTAAGTGTTCCTAAGAGTTACCATAGACAAGGGTTTTATCATTACATCATAACATACTAAGTCAACATTCTTTATAAAACCATTTAGGAGACACACAAGCATATAGGGGACAATTACATAATAGCCTTAAGGCTTAGAGAACTCACTTTAGTATCTTCTAAGCCTACTCGTGCCATGTGTAGATAGCATCCCATACTACTACCTACACGTTGTAGAACCTATCCAATATTAGAGTGCACATCCCATATGATGAAAATAGGCCTTAACCGACATAGACCATACTAGCAAGGTATGGAATCCGGAGTCTATCCTACTCCGTGGAGGTTGTTCTACTTGCCAAGGGTAGAACTAAAAGCAACCGATGTTGGCACATGGTTTAAGAGACATCCAAGGATGTTCATTGTGCCTAATCTCATGCTCAACTAGGCCACCATCCTAACCACATCCACTCGGTGCTTAGCCTTGGTTTCCATAGAGTATTCAATCACATATGTACTAGAGAGGGTTCCTTTTCTAGTTCAACCGACTCATAGTACCTCTTCCCAAGAAAGGCCCCATTTCTTAGTCATAGCCAATCTAGGTTCATAAGGATAGTTCATTTGACTTTCTTAGATAAGGATTCTCATTCCGTTCCGGCTCCATCCATCTCTAAGCATTTCACTCAAGAAGGGAACATCACCCTAAGGCCCATCCTTCAAGGTTATACATTTACTTAGGAAAGCTAGACTCATGAAAAGGCACTATGCTTAAGTCTTGCCAATTCAAGTCTTGGCCTAGAATTCCTCTTTTAGCATTTATAGGAAGAGCTCCATTACTAAGTCATAGCCCAACCAAACATTCATATACTCGTATACATAATCAAACTTTCATGACACAAGACAATATACTCAAGTCTAGCATATGAGCTACAACATCATCTTATAGAGACTCATCATAATCCATCATCACCACATATCACCATTTCAAGAGAAACATGCTTTCACATTAGCATAATACCACTTTATACAATATCACATTAATACCATTAGAACATCTTCACATTATAGCTTCACACAAACTTTACATATAGCTTCATATAGGACTTTACATATAGCCTCATATGTGTATAATAACACAACAATATAATAACACTCATATAATGCCCTTTTGGCCTCAATTCACAATAATATAATATTCCAACATTATACAACAATTTCACCAATACCTTCATGGCTACAATTCACAATAATACCACAAGAGAATAAGATATAACACTTCCACCAAAGGTGTATCCAACCTACCAACAACAATCAATTCAATAAAGAGAGTTCAAGCCTTCTTACCATAATCCAAAGCCATAGCCAAAATCACCAATACTTCACCCATAAGGCTTATCACCCTTAATTCATCCATTATCAATAATTGATCATAAATAAACATTAAACAACACAAGAGATATCAATACAATTCACTTTACACATAATTCCATCAACTTTGAATATATAGAAATAGACCCACTTCATAGCAAATTTTAGGATTTTGTAGAAGACAAGGGTTCATGGAGTATTTCATTCAAAAACCACAAACAAACATCAATTAATCCATACCCAAACGTTTCAAATCATTTTCATGCAAGAACCCTTGATAGAATTCAAAAACAAGCTTTTAGTCACTTTTTGAAACATTGTAAAATCCTTTGAAATTGACTCTAGGATGAAGATGAGTCCTAGATGAAGAGCCACCATACCTCAATTGATGAAATTTCAACGAAATTTGATGGAAGGGAACTCTCAATTGAAACCCTAGCTCTCCACCTTCGAAAGAACTTTAGAGAGAGAAAGAACTTTGGGGTTTTGATTTTGGAAGAATGAATTCAAAAGCACCTCTTAAATGTTTTTAATACCTTTAAAATACTTAAAAACACTTAAAATAATAATAACCCAAAGTACCCAAACTACCCTTCACTTAGTTGGACCTTTTTAAACAAGTCCAACTTGAGTTTTATTTTCGCAGATTTCGTCGAGAAACAAGTTTGCAACGCGGAGGTGTTCCCACAAGTTTTCTGAAAATTAAATTCGAGACAGTAGAGTCTGCGGTATCCGCGATGCGGAGCCACTTTTTGGCCATTGGTGGAGCAGGTCCGCGACGCGGAGCCACTCCCTCCAAGAGCAACTTCAAGCTGCTTGGCCAAGGGTTGGGGTCCTCCTCGGGGACCCTTAGGGTGGTCCCGGGGAGTCGTACCTGAACGTTTTGACCCTAAAAACATTTATTAAGACACTAGGGTCACCTCCACTGATTTTAGATTCTATACAACACATAAAAACATGAACAACACACTAGAACACACCAACACGTAAAAGACTAGTTTCTGAACGTCTTGGTCGTCCCTTGACATTTGACTTTCAAACTCTTTAAAACTGACTAAAAATGCTATTCTTCATTATTTTAACAAGTTGTTAATACATAGGACCCATGTGAGGCTCTACTTTATCCTACTTCATTTTGAGGGGTGTTACAGTTGACCGATACCGAGAGGAACGGGACCAGAACTATCGGGATGAAGACTCAGTTCCGTCCCGTCCCACTATATACCGGAATAAAATCGGGACGGATCGGAATGGACCGAAACGGAACGGGATGGGATAAACGGGACGGCACATATAGCTATTTCAAAAAATATTATTTTTTGAGTTATTTTGAATTACGAAAATACGAATATTTTTTTTTCTAAGTTATATTAGTTTATAGTATTTAAGTGTTAAAATTTATAATATTTTTACTTAAGTTTATTTTAAAGATATATTTTTTTAATTTTTACGTATATAAATTTGTAAGTTAAGTTTACTAAAGTTCTTTTTAAAAAGTTTTTGAGCTTATGTAGTTATGTTATAAGTTTTAAGATTTGAATCTTTTGAAGTTTATAAGTTATTAAGTTATACTTATAACTTGTAAGTTAAATAACTTAAGTTTGTAATTTTAAAAAATTAAATTAAAAAAAATGCTAATAAAAGTAAATAATGACAAAAATATTATTTTTTATTTTAATTAAAAATAATTTACCGGGATCGGACCGGTACCGGACCGGACCGGAACGGAACGGAACGGAATTGAAAAGGACCGATACCGGTATACCGGTACCGAATCATGATACCGTTCCGTTCCGTGTACCGATTCAATGTATCCCATCCCGTCTCGAATACTACCGGACCGGAACAAACCGGAACGGTACCGATACAACCCGTTCCGGTGCCCTGCCTTATCAACCCATAATTGAAGTTAAGAAAATCGACAAAAATAACACTTGGAAATGAAAACTTCAAAATAGAATCTAAAAAGAAATTGTAACAGGAATTCAGAGAGACAACGAAGAATTACCTCAAAATTGAAGCAGTACTTTAAGAAGATTGAAGATGAAAAGGCTGTACTTGGAGAAGCTCGAAGATGAAAGGCTGCGGTCCTGCGGAGACAAAATATTTATGAACAATCAAAAGCAAAGATTGATTAGTTCACTTGAGTATCCAAAATTTACAATTAAATTTCGGAATGAAGAACAAAAAATACCCTCAAATACAGAAAAAAGAAAAGAGGAATGGAAAATACCCTCAAATACAGAAAAAAGAAAAGAGGAATGGGGAAGGGAAAATTGAAGGTGAGTAGAAAATAGCAATTGCAAAATACCTGGAAATTGCAGGAATACTTTGAGAAGAACAAAGATGAAGCCTGAAATTCTATTGCCAAGGCAAAGGATGAACAAAGATCAAAAGAGGTGCATGAAAGCCACCTTTAAGCCTGTAACAATTGAACATCAAAGAAAATAGAGGGAAAAGGGAACCCTAATAAATCAATTCTAGAAATTGAAGACCAAAACAGATAGATGACGAAGAAAATAACCTTGAAATTGCATCAATTATCGGAGAAGACTAAGAATGAAGAGCCATGGAAGAAAAATAGTCCATCTCCTTCTTCACTTGATGAGAGTAGGGTGGATGCCACACAGCAATGGCTGGACAATTACGTGGAAGATGATGAGTTAGGGCAGCTAATTGAAATGACAAAATAGCCTTAACTAATGAAAAAAATACCTCAAGCAGCATGTTGATACCTTTAGCATTTACTCACCGTTCTAATATAGTAGAAAAAGAAAATGATATATTTTTTTCAAATAAAAAAAAAAGAACAACTAAATTAAAATCGTCTATGTCTACTTATACTCTTTTTTTTTCACAATTCGTCTAATGGATTGTGCATCAAATAAAATCATTTTTCACAATTCAAACAAATTAGCTCACTTTTAAAATTTTATAAGACATGAGAATTATATTTTTCTTTTAAACTATTTTTTCTTCCCAAGCAACATTCACGCACATATTTTGAGAGTGATGTTTTTTTTCAAATCAAATGAAGGAAAATTAAATTGAAATCATTTATATCTACTTTTTTTTTTTTCAACCAAACTTTAATTATATAATTCAATTGAAAGGTATTTTGCATCAGATAGAATAAATTTTTACAATTTAGATAGATTTATTTAAATTTTTAAAAAATTACATATAATATTCGAGAATTAAATGTTCCTTCTAAACTATTTTCTTCTTCACTAAAAAAAAACAGAGCAACAAAACAGAACTAGGAGTTGGTGGTTTTCATAGAGGTTGTATACAGTATTATAAGTTAATATGGAGGCTTGTAGCAGAGCTGCAGTGGTGGGTTCTTCTCTTCAGCAATCTGTTTGGGTTAAGGGATCAACTTTCCCTTTAAAGGGTGAAGTGAAACTTAATAGGGTCAAATTATGGTCTGTTAAGCCTTGCAAAGCCTCTCAACTTGAAGGGAGCTTGGTTTCAAGAAGGCCTCCTTCTTCAGTTTCTGTTCCTATCCCAGAAATGGAAAGTGCTGGGAACAACTTTATAGATTATGGATTGGGTGAAGCTGATCCTGAAGTTCGTGGTATTATTGACAAAGAGAAGGAACGTCAATTTCGAAGCTTAGAGCTTATTGCCTCTGAGAATTTCACATCTCGAGCAGTGATGGAGGCAGTTGGTTCTTGCCTTACAAACAAATACTCCGAAGGACTACCAGGCAAAAGATATTATGGTGGAAACGAGTACATTGATGAGTTAGAAATACTTTGTCAAGAGAGGGCTTTGGCAACTTTTAGCTTAGATGGAAAACAGTGGGGTATCAATGTTCAACCCCTACCTGGTTCTCCAGCAAATTTTGAAGTCTACACAGCAGTTCTCAATCCACATGACCGGATTATGGGATTGGACTTGCCTCATGGGGGGTCATTTGTCCCATGGATTTATGACTCCTAAAAGACGAGTTTCAGGCATATCTATTTACTTTGAGTCCATGCCTTACCGCCTTGATGAATCTTCAGGCCTTGTTGATATTTACCAGATGTTGAGACCTCTTTTCAGACATTGAATGAGCCGTATGACCAGGCTATCATACCCCCAAGCAAGGAGAAGAGCTTTCTCGTAGAAGACAGTAGATAGTTCAGAATGAGCCAAACTCTAAGCCCACAGACGAATGTATGATGCAGTGTTAGAGACAACACCCAAAACAAACTCAATAGAATGTATCATTTGATGCATAAAAACCTCACTAAAATTAAATTCCTTATGATGGTGGCAGAGTCCGGTTCCTCGTAAATATCCACCTCAGAGGTTCCAAGAAGGCCACAAGTTCCGCCTTGAAATCTCTTAGTGTGAAGTCTCTTCAAAATAAAAGGTTTTGGGAATAGCATCCATGGAACAACAAGAAGTGCCAAAAGCAACAATATTACCTGAAGCACACTGAGGCCCCAAAACAACTGGTTTTCACCAAGAGCCTCGAAAGGACTTGGGAACATATAAATCATAACATGGCAGTTATCTGTTCTCTTCAGTGATGGCTCTACATATAAAAAAATTCAATAAATTACAAATAAACTGGAATATCAAAATCGCAAAATCAACAATGTGAGCTCCCAAACTCCATTAATGGAGAACTCATTGGTTTGAGAGAGATGATACATGGAGAAAATATCTTTAATTGAATGTGAATTGAAACTGCAAGTATTACAATGTAAAGCTATATATACAAAATCACTAATCAACAAACTTGATTCTAACTAACTTTACTATTCATAACTAACTAACTAACTAACTGATTTTACTGTTCATCAACTAACTAATTTCATACTTTATATTCTCAACACCCCCCTCAAGTTGGAGGTGATGCAATTACAGACTTGTGTAATAAAGTAGTGTGCTTAACCCCAGTTAGGGCCTTGGTGAAGATGTCTGCCAACTGGGATTCTGTGGGGATGTGGTGAAGTGAAATCAGACCTTCTTGAAGTTTATTTCAAACAAAATGGCAATCAATTTCTATGTGTTTAGTCCTTTCATGGAAGACTGGATTCTTGGCAATATGCATTGTTGCTTGACTGTCGCAAAAATCTTGTATGGGAAAAGGACACCTTACTGATAATTCATCCAACAACCTCTCAACCCAAACCAGTTCCCCTACCACCTGTCTTACATCTCTGTACTTTGCTTCTGCAGAGGACAAAGACACTGTGGCTTGCTTTTTGGACTTCCAACTAATAGGACTATCACCCATAAGTACTAGATAACCACTGACTGACTTCCTTGAATCAAGGCAAGCTGCCCAATCTGAGTCACAAAAAGCTTTGATACTGAGTGCAGGTGTATTGGAGATGAAAATGCCCAGTGAAGGATCCTGCTTCAAGTATCTAAGGACATGGTAAGCTGTCTTCAAGTGTGGTTCTCTAGGAGTTTGCATGAACTGACTGAGTGGTGTACACTATAGGATATATCCATCCTTGTATTTGTGAGAAAATTAAGTTTACCTACTAATTTTCTGTAAAAAATTAGGATTATACAACAATTTGCCATCAGTGGCCTTCAATTTTTCAGTACAGTCCAGTGGTGATGCAACAATCTTGTAATTCAAACAATCAAATTCCTTCAAAAGATCAGTGGTAAACTTTCTTTGTGAAATCAAAACACCATCATGCCTATAAATTATCTCCAACCCCAGGAAATAATGCAATTTACCCAAATCTTTTATCTTGAACTGATCATGTAGAAAAGACTTCAAGGAGTCAATTTCTTCTAGGTCAGTCCCAATCAAGATTACATCATCAACATATACTGCAACAAAAACCAAAGAAGAGCATCCTTTTCTTTTGTAAAATAGTGAATGGTCACTATTTGAGTGTGTGTCTCCTCCAGAACAAAGACTGTTTGCCAACTTATCATACCATTGTTGGTTTTACTCCTTTTTGATATTTTTGATTTTCCATTATAAAATTTGAAGTTACTAGCTTGTTTTAAGCCATACAATGATTTTTTCAATTTACACTCCATGTCAATACCATCTACCATAAGACCTTGTGGTGATGTCATTTATACTTCCTCATTCAAATCACCATGAATGAAGGCATTGTTGACATCTAGCTGATACAAATTCCAGCCTTTCTTAATAGCCAAAGCGATCAATGTTCTAACAGTGGTCATTTTAACCACAAGAGAAAAGGTCTCAATGTAGTCTATCCCAGCCTGTTGAGTGTATCCTTTAACTACCAGCCTTGCCTTGAATCTCTCCACACTTCCATATGCCTTATGTTTGATCTTATACACCCACCTACAACCAATGTCAATCTTTCCCTTGGGCAGAGGTACCAATTCCCAAGTATTGTTGGCATATAATTCCTCAAACTCTTGTGTCATTGCCTTTTGCCAGGCAGGAGACAAGATTGCCTCTTCATATGAACAAGGTTCACAGTCATGTGAAATGTTTTCAACCAACTGCTGGCTATAGAGACAAAAAGAAATGAAACAAATACTATCATGGTTAGTTGCAAAAGAGGTGTGAGAATGGTGTGGGTGTGAACTTGATGCAACAAATGTAGAAAAGTGTAGGTTAGGTAAAGTGTAGTTGTAGTCTTTAGATAAGTAGTGGTATGGACAGACCTAGTTGTTCTTCTAAGGGCATGTGGAGCATCACATGATGAAATAGGTGCAGGCATGGATGGTGCAGTGGTGATGTTTGTGACTTGATGTGATATGTTTGTATCCAGTAGATCATCAATATCAAAAATGTTGATCATGCTAGGCATACTAGTTAAGTTGGTAGAATGATTAACAAGTAAACTCAAAATAGAAGCAAAACTGGAGCCAACAGGAGCAATTACAAAGGGAAAGATAAGATTCATGGAAAACAACATCCCTAGACACATAAATTCTTTTGGTAGCTAAATCCAAAACCATGTAACCTTGTGTATTCAAAGGATAGCCAACAAATATGTGTGGTGTAGCCCGTGGCTCAAATTTGTCCTTATGAGTTTTTAAGGTAGTGGGAAAACATAGACAACCAAAATTTCTAAGGTGAGAATATGTAGGGTGTTTGTGATACAACAACTTATATGAGGACTTATTTTTCAAGAGTTTGGTAGGTAATCTGTTAATGATGTAAGTAGATGTTAAGACACATTCCCCCAGTACCCATAGGTAATTTAGATTGGAAAAGGAGGGCCCTAACTGTTTCAAGGAGGTGCTTATGCTTCCTCTCTACCACACCATTTTGTTGGGGTGTGTAGGGGCAAGACCTTTGGTGTATTATCCCTTGTTCTTGGAAAAATTGGCTAGCTTCATTGGAGGTAAACTCCAAACCATTGTCAGACCTGATGGCTTTTAATTTGGTTTGAAATTAATTCTCTATGAGTGAGATGAAAGCTTTGATAGTTTGTAAAGCATTGCTTTTGCATTTAAGTAATTGTGTCCAAGTTGATCTAGTGTTGTCATCTACCATGGTCAAGAAATAGTTATAGCCATCATGAGTGGGAATGTGGTATGGGCCCCATAGATCAATGTGAAGCAATTCAAATGCTTTGGTGGTGGAAGTTGTGCTCTTAGGAAATGGCTTTCTAGTTTGCCTAGCCATAGGGCATATAGCACAAGTAAAAGGTTGTTTTGTGGAAAAATGATAGGTATGGTGGAATTGTTCTTCATTCTTACAAAAGGTACATGGCCTAGTCTAGCATGCCATAAAAATACACCAGTATAAGCCTCAGCAGGGAAATAATCAGCATTAGAACAAGAAGCATAATTAGAAACTGAACATACTTCTTTATTGATATAAGGAGAGTATTTTATAGTAGATGATGGAGATGAAGCTTGACATATATTTTCAGCTGAACTTTTAGTACAATTAACTAGAGAATGACTACTATGAACAGGGAAATTTTTTGGAGTAGCATAAGTCTCTTTGCTGCCAGTAGAAAGGGGATGACAGTTGTGGCACATAGAGCATAAGAAATATAGACCATTTTTAGCTCTACCAAGTTCCAAAGGGCTCTTCAGAGAAGGGCCCTGCAATAAACAAGAAGAAATGTTAAAACTGACTACACCTTTGAGTTTCAATGCAAGACAATGAACTGAGATTAAATTGAACTTAAAACTAGGCACAAATATTAGTTTCCTTAGAATCAGTACTGGATTTAAGCAAACATCACCAATTTCAATCACTTTAACCTTATAACTATCTGGTAAGGTAATTAAGAAGGGGTATGTCAGTGTGCTGATATTTGTGTGGCTTTGTAATAGGTCATGTGATGTGATGCTCCTAAGTCTATGATCCAGGAACCAACAGTTAATCAAACACATTTACAACAGAGATCACCTATATTAGTAATTGAAAAGTAACAAGCTAGTATACGTGCCAGGTTCACAGCTCCACTTAGCATATTTTCAGAGTTGGTGGTTCCATGATTAGCATGTAGAGATTCCAAAAGATTTAGCAGCTGCTCATACTGGTATTTAGACAAATTCAAAGACATTTGTTTACTCAGCTCATTATCATCCTCACATTGGTTCCTGTCAACCTCAGAAGTACACATATTGGCTGCTGAATTTGAACTTTTACCCTTGGAGAATTTAGAGTTGGTGGGATAACCATGTAGCTTGTAACATCTATATTTAGTGTGTCCTATTTCCTTACAAAAATCACAAAACAATGAAGGCCTCCCAGTGCTAGAATTGCCTCTAAACACATTTGTGTTTGAGTTTCCATAACCTCCTGTGTTTCCCCTATTAGGATTAAAATTGGTCTTAGTACCTTTGTAACCTGCAACATTGTTAGATGAGGCAATGCAAAAACATTGAGAGAGGTCGAATTCAAGGCAGTGTAGTTGTGAGGTTTTACTTCCCTTTGCTTCTCTTCTTAGGACAAGATGGCAAAAACTTGGGCAATACTTGGTAAAGTATTCATCATGAGAATGTTGCCTCGGACTGCAGTAAACATCTAA